GGTGTTGTGGTGAGAGATATAGGGGAAAAAAGGGGGAAAAAGGAGGAATAAAGGGGAAAAGGGGGCAAAGGGAAAAACAGGGGTAAAAGGGGAAAACAAGGGAAAAAGGGATAAAAGGAAAAAGAAGGGGAAAAAGAAGAGGAAAAGAAGGGGGGAAATAAGGGGGAAAAGGGAAAAAGAAGGAGAAAAAGGGGGAAGAGGGGGAAAGGGAGGAAAAGGAGGAAAACGGAACAAAGGGGGATAAAGAGGGAAAATGGGGGAACAAATGAAGGGGGGAAGGAGGAAAAGGGAAGGGAAAAAGGGGAAAGAAGAAGGGGAAGAAGGGGAAAAGGGGACATGGAACAAAGCAGGGAAAGAGGAAAAGGGAAAAAAGGGGAAAAAGGGGAAAAAGGAAGGGGAAAGGAAGGGGGGAAATGGGAGGAAAAAAAGGGGGAAAAGGGGAAAAAAGGGAAGAAAGAAAGGAGGAAAAAAGGGGAAGAGGGGGGAAAGGGAGAAAAGGAAAAAATGGAACAAAGGGGGATAAAGAGGAATACAATGAAGGGGGAAAGAGGAAAGGGGGAGGGGAAAAGGGGGAAAGGGGGAAATGGAACAAAGAGGGGAAAAAAGGGGGAAAAGGGAAAAAGTGATAAAAGGGGGAAAAAGGGGGAAAAGGGGGGGAAAAGGGGGAAAAGGGGGAAAAGGGGGGAAAAGGGGGGAAAAGGGGGGAAAAGGGGAAAAGGGGGAGAAAAGAGGGGGAAAAGGGGAAAAAGGGGGAGGGAGGGGATAAAAAGGAGGAAAAAGGGGGAATAGGGGAAATAGGAGAAAAGGAGGAAATGAACAAAGAGGGGAAAGAGGTGGAAAGGGGAAAAAAAGTGAAAAGGGGGAAAAAAGGGAAAAAAGAGGAAAAAGGCAAAAAAGAGGATAAAGGGGAAAAGGGGGGAAATAAGGGAAAAAGAAGGGAAAGAAGGGGAAAAAGAAGGGGGAAAAGGGAAAAAAAGGAAGAAAAAGGGAAAAAGGAAGGAGAAAAAAGGGGGAAGAGGGAAAAAGTGAAAAAAGTGAAAAAGGGGGGAAAAGGGGGAACAAAATGAGGGGGGAGAGGAAAAGGGAAGGGGAAAAACAGGGAAAAGGGAAAAAAGGAAGGGGAAAGAAAGGGGAGAAAAGGGGAATAAAGGGGGGGAAAGAGGGAAAAAGGAAAAAGGAGGAAAAAAGGGAAAAAGGAAAAAGGAAAAAGGAAAAAGGAAAAAGGAAAAAAGGAAAAAGAAAAAGGAAGGGGAATAAAGGGGGAAAGAGGAAAGGGAGGGGGAAAGGAGAAAAGGGGAAAGGAAAGGGGAAGGGAAAAAGGGGGAAGGAGGGGAAAGGTGTGAAGGGGAAAAATGGACAAAAAAAGGAAAAAGGGGAGGATGGGGAAGGAAAGGAAAAAGGGAGAAAATC